GAACTGTTTTATCTAAATAGAAAAGTGTAAAGAGTATGCAATTTATTAACAATATTTTTTTTTGTTGTTTTGTCGGACTGGCGTCTTTTCCCGATATTTTTGTCCTACTCTACTACTTTTCGTTCTAAAACACATTATTCCATCATGTACTACTTTTGTTCGACATGCATGTATGAGGAAACACAATCTCGTCATTTTGACATTTTTGGGGCGTCGGACTACTCGTACGCTGTTTCATCTGATATACAACTTCGCATGTAGTAATTTTTCTTACATAAATACTGCCCTTAAAACTACTTTTATGCAAATTTTACTATATCCCCAAATTTCCTTTCTTTTAAAAAAAATTCACGGCTTTTTATACATATATTACCAATAAAATTTGTTTTCTCCACATATTTTTAGATTTACTGCAGAATATCAATGTAATGTTTATTGAAATAGTGCACCGAAAGGTCCATTTAATCTTTCCGATATGTGTTAAGATAATATGAAAGCTCTAATAACGAAATTACAGTGATGTGTTTTATGTTCACATCTTTGTAAAAATTCTGTACTCAATTATTTTCGTTTTTGTGACGGACAATCTGGTGCACTTTGAATCTCTTGTTTACAAAAAAATGTCGTGTGATAACAGCCGGCAAATATGTTTATAAAAATCTTGACATGTTTTATTTTTACCCAAGGTCAACGTAGGACGAAAATAAAACTCAATAAAAATATTAATATACGGGTAGGAATCGTAGTGTAAATAGATGCGATTAAGGATTGAATTGAATTACCAACTCTTTTGTGGTCAGTAGCTGCTGTCAATTTTATTCATTACAGATTCCCATTTGAATTATTTATATTACATTTGGATGTACTCAACTCGGTAGGGAATAGTTTATGTCACAGTGGTGGCTATATCGCCTTAAAAATATTAGCTCTTTAGCAAATAAATATTCTCGATAACAGCAATAACTATATTTTAAGGAAACATGAGAACTTATAAATTGAAACTTCGGTAGTCTTTTTTATAGATATCTTAAAATTTCAGAAATAATTTAATGTATTCGAAATGAACGATAAAATCTCGTTAGTTTTAAAAAAATATCCCTGAGGGTAATGGAAAATATAAAACCATTGAGTAAAAAAAAATAAAAAAGTTTCTACGATCAGTCTCGGTAACACATTTGCTCGATATTTCTTTAGAAAAAGTTAGATGGGTGTGTACCATGTTAGTGGTACTTATTGAAATTCTGAAATCGTTCGAAAATATGTACTTTTTCGGCCCAAATTGAGTGGATACACATTTTAGAGATGCTCTACCCGTGCTAGAACGATCAGTTATCACCTTTAGATTTTTAGCTATAAGGGTCACTTACCACAGTTTGATGTACATATTTAAAGTATACAAACAAATTATTTCTAAAATAGTCCCAGAAATACGTATGCGACGCTGTTACTGAAGCAGAAATAATCTAGCCACATACGCGACATCATAATGTGTGGACGCATTTGTAACATGTTACAAAGCAGGGTTTTCTAACATTCTTTGATCTTTACCTCTCACTAACCGGTAACAAATAACTTGTTACTTTTTATCGAAATTCCGCCAACATGTTGAATAACTTTGTTGATAACATTGTTTTGTAACATATGAGGACGGACCTTTAGGTATGCATTATTATCTCGACGTTATCTTTTGGTTTCCAATTCACTTCCAATCCAATTTTTTTTTAGCTAATAGAACGAGATATTTGCTTTGGCCTTTAGTTGTAATTAGATTGAGTGTATTGTAAATTTAGATCTAATCGTCTAGCCAATACTATTGGGTGTTGTTGGCACTGACAATTAAAATTTAATTTTGTGATATAGTATATTTAAAGTGGTAATTATAGAAGCGGTAATGTAAATGCAAAGTTATTAGTCCAGCCATTGAAGGTAAAATTCGGCGTTACTGTATAATTTTCCCAAACAGCACCGATTTGCACCAAAATTTGGATTTAGGTTCTAGTTACTCTCTACTTCAAAGTTGACCCTGTGCCGGGGGTTGCTTTTTATTTTTTAGGGGTGAAAACTACCCCTATTCGAAAATAATTATAGAATTGTAGATTCGAGCGTATAATAGGATGAAATCATCTTTAATTAAGTAATTATGATGAATTGAAAATTGTCCATCCATAAAATCCACCCCCTATGACAGTTATCATTAAAAAATAATGTTGAAAAATATTATTCAACAACTTGGAATAATTTAATCAGATTGTGATACATATTAAATTAAGATTTCTTTACTGTTTTAATTTTGTATTATTTATTTATGAGTTACAACCCTTAAAAAACACCCCTTGCAAAAAAAATCGAAAAATTATATTTAAAAAAAATTTTTTAGTTCAAAATATAATACAATCTTTTTATTATTTAAAATGTAATGTATTTATTTTATCAAACCTTAAAAAAATAAGAATTTTATAACAAAATTTTTTTTATTGCAAATAACATATGTACACTGTGTCTACTTAAGTTGGAACCATTTGGAAAACTTTTTTATTATTGGTTTTATGAAAAAGTTATTCTTCATAAAGAGTTCTGCATGGTCTAAAATCTAAAATGCAACCTTCAGTTATCAAGATTTCCCAGTTATATACGAGGTATATCAGAAATTATGAATTTTGCTCAAGAGGAAAGTACCTTTATTTTTGACAATACAGAAGAATGTTGTAAAGAAAAGATATTTTGAATTAAAAGTTATTTTCAAATGTGCAATTACAGCCATTTAGCATGAAGATTCAGGTATTGTGATTATTTACTAATTTTCCGTATTAATTATTCTGGCTTGATACAATTTAANAAAAAAATTTTTTAGTTCAAAATATAATACAATCTTTTTATTATTTAAAATGTAATGTATTTATTTTATCAAACCTTAAAAAAATAAGAATTTTATTTTTATTTGGATTTTAATTTTTTTATTTTTATAACAAATTTTTTTTATTGCAGATAACATGTACACTGTGTCTACTTAAGTTGGAACCATATGGAAAACTTTTCTATTATTGCTTTTATGAAAAAAAGTTATTCTTCATAAAAAGTTCTGCATGGTCTAAAATCTAAATTGCAACCTTCAGTTATCAAGATTTCCCAGTTATATACGAGGTATATCAGAAACTATGAATTTTGCTCAAGAGGAAAGTACCTTTATTTTGGACAATACAGAAGAATGTTATAAAGAAAAATTATTTTGAATTAAAAGTTATTTTCAAATGTGAAATACAGCCATTTAACATGAAGATTCAGGTATTGTGATTATTTACTAATTTTCCGTGTTAATTATTCTGGCTTGATACAATTTAACGTAATCTAGGATGCACTGACATGAAATATTTGACAAATGGAAAGGTTATCATATTTTTAGCAGATAAAAGAGATAAATACATAATTTATAATGTAAAACGTAAATAATAATAATAATAATAATTTTAGATATTAGACCATGCCGAACTTTTTATGAAGAACAACTTTTTTTCATAAAACCAAAAATAAAAAAGTTTTCCGTATGGTTTCAACTTAAGTAGACACACTGTATAAATAATCAAAAATCCTCTTCACTCTCGTCTTCCTTTTCTATTCTATTCCTAAAATTCCTATTTCTATCCTAAAATATAGCTATAATGTGTTCTGATATCTGCAAAAATATGTGATTCGTTTTTTACCCATAACTCGCTTAGTTTTTATGCTATCAAGCCCTTCAAAAAACCATTTCGTAGTTTTTTTCAAGGGCTATAAGATCAAATAAGTTAAATTTTCTCAGCCCTTATTTTTGTAAGGGTTTGAGCTGAAAGGGCTTGAACAAGTTGCTATTTACGAACATATGTAAAAGTTAAACGGCCATATATTACTTAATTTTTATCCTACAGAAAAAAAAAAACAAAATTTTCAAAAAAGCAAAACCTACAATTTTATACTCTACAAAATTTTGCGTATCATTAATAGTTTTTGAGTTATTTTGAAGAAAAGACAATGTTTTCCAAAAATACAAAAATTCTCTTTTCACTTCAAGCTCAACATTCTTCAAAACTAAGCACTTTAAACCGTCAAACTTCTAGAGCATATTACAAGTACATAAATAAAGTACATTGTAAAGTGGTAACGATTATTTTCAATTGGGGTGGTAATTTGGGGGCGATTTTCACGTTTTTTGTCTCCGAAAAAAATACAGACTAACTTTATTTTCGTCATAACTCGCTTAGGTTTGATGCTAGGGACTTTCCTGAAAAATGTATTGGTTTTTGGTTATTTCACGTTCAAATTTTCAATTTTGGCGTTTGACGAATAGGAACCAACCTTCAACAAGCTATTACCACAGCCTAAATTGTGCTATTACTCCGCTTATATTGGATCTATATACACCTTAAACACACCATTCTTTTTGTTTTTTTTATAAGCTACATTTTTATAAGAATGATTTTTTTGATAAAATACTTACTTTTTGAGTTATTCGCGAAAAACCGTCTGAAAAAGTGTTTTTTTTTTTGGTTAAAAAATTTACACTTTCACTCGCGAATAAGTCGAAAAGTATTGGCTTTCAGAAAAAACTTTATAGAACAAAAGTTGCTTAGAATTAGACAATATATTCTTTCGGGGAGTTATTTTCAATGAAACATTTTCCACCCCCGAGAAGGGATGGCATCCACCCCCAGGGTAAAAGCAACCTCGGTACAACGTCGACTTTGAAGTAGAGGGTAAGTAGAACCTAAATCCAAATTTTTATGTAAATCGGTGCTGTTTGGCAAAATTATACAGGAAAATGGTCATTGACTGGACTGTATGTACCTACTTGAATGCATTGCGACGATGCGTTGTGTACAGTTCGTCATGGAACACCTGGTATATTGATATGAAAGAGGTTATCTGTTGATACTCTTTTAATATCTTCATATACTATAAAAAAACAAGAGAAAACTACACTATATAACCCTAGAAGTGTATTTCACAGAAATATTGAAAGAAAGAACATGTTCGGGAAGGTTGTTTTAGTGTCGTCGTTGCTGTTTTCTTTGGCTAAATCTACTGGTGTGACTTTCAAAAATGTCACTTTTACTGGATACAGTCAATCAATAGAAAAATGTAAAACGACCATACTTCATTCAAATAGTTTAGTAGATTTTTTGCCGGAGTTAGCCTTCGACAAGGTCGAATTTATAGATCAAGATTTCACCGTACTCTATAAAGATTCTTTCACAAGCTTAAGTGATTTGGGAGAATTGGTGTTAGAAAATTGTCGAATACACAAAATTGAATCGTATGTACTTGATTCTCCATATCATAGTTCTGGGAAGGATACAAAAATCAAGAAGATTTCCTTAAAAGGTATTGTGTCTGTACGTGCATCAGTGACCAATAATTACAAATAAATTAAAAGCTTTTCAGTTGTTTCAGTTTAATAATTTACATTACTAAAGTATCAGTACCCTTCTAAAAATTTAATGAAAAATTTCATAGATCATAGGTTGTTTTGAAGTAACATAGATTAATGTAAAGTTACCTTCAGTAATGTAATGCAATGTAATCTTACATAAACTCATGTGGTGTCAAAAGGGTTGCAATATTATATACAATTTTTAGGAGTGTATTTTTGCAACAAAAAATCATCAGCGTCTAAGCAAGTCCTACTTGAAGAATATGCAAATTTTATTAAAACAATTTTGTTGTTGTAGGTAATAAAATAGAAGAAATTTACGAAAATGTATTCACGCGTCCGAGTTTTACCAAAATTGATTTAAGTTTTAACCGCATAACCGTTATCCACGAGAGGGCCTTCGACCATTTGCCATATTTGGAATTTATTGATTTAGGACACAACAATATTGGAAAATGGAACACCAATTGGTTCCGTTACACCCCGTCACTCAGAATGGTCTCGATGGAAAATAATTCTCTCGAGTTCTTGCCCGATTATGCTTTTAAGAATATAGATGGTAACGGAAGGTTTGATAAATATATAACTATTGTTCTGAATTTCAACAAAATTAAAACAACCGGTCCAAAAGCTTTCAGCGGCCTTGGAAATATGTACGATTTACTGTTAGACAATAATCAGTTGGAAAAGATCGATGAAGATTTATTAAAAGATGTTGATGTTCTTCATTTGAGGTTAAATAACAACAATATCCGTTGTTTGGATGGCAACTTGGATAAGATTTTTACAGCAAAAGTTACGTATTTGGACTCAAACCCGTTTGACTGCGAGTGTTTGAACAGAATCAGGAAATGGGCACAAAAGAATAAGAGAAGTGTTTACTGGTCTTGTGGAAGCTGCATTAATAATAATACACGAAATATATTCACCATTAAAAATTTTCAAGAAACTTAAATTCAGTTAATTCGATACAATTTTTCAGCAAATATTCTATATAATCCTTGCCACTGTTTTTATACTTCTGCTTTATAATATATGTCTAAAATATATATTCTTTTTTTATTTTTTAGTTTTATTTTAAAATTGCCGAGACGAATGACATAATGTGTGAGAAATTGTTTTATTGTATATATATGCAAAATTAATATACAATAGTTACTACTTTGTTTGAAGTAACTTGAAAATTATTTCATGTTTCATTTAACTTGAACTATTACTGTTAACCTTAATTTATACAATTTAGTATTACATATTACTTTTGTTTTTCTTTGAAATGCTTTTAATCTTATTAAAGGGAGAAAACTATGAAACTTCACTTGCTAATGCGGAACAAATTGCACATTTTTAGTAAGCAAAGAAAACGAACATAATGTATATCCATAATATTTTTTATTAATTTAATTATAGAGTAAAATAAACAAAAATAGTATACAGGCTGTCTACTTATAAGAGGGATGGATCTTGCTTAATATACGATGCATCTCAAAAATCTTTGTATGTTTTTTGTTGCATTTTTTGAGGCCTTTATGCCTGTAAAAACAAATTTGAGATCCAAGTTTAGAGTCGTCTAACTTTTTTATTTTAGGGGATAGAGAAAACTTATTTTAATAAAATTTCACACAAGTCTTATAATAATTGTTCACTTTATTTTATGTTGATGATCCACACGCCTTTGGTGCGCGGCCAATTATGACAGCTCTAAAGATTAATTTAAAAACCATTGCTTCACTGCAATATAAAACACAAATTCAAACTCATATCTTAGTACTAAATTCGTTATAAAAACAATACATATGTTCAAAATAGTGTCCTTGACTATGTACAAATATTCACTTGTGCATATTTTCATACACATTTTACAGATGTTGTTCTGTTATATTATTTTCTCGAATAATAATTCTTCGAAGTTGTGCTTTGTTGTTTTGAAAATAGTCTTCAGATATCCAAAAGAGGTTAAATCTGGTGACCTAAGTGGCCATAACCTTCGATTATCGTGAAATAATTCTAAAAATAGAATTGTTGGTCTTACAGTATGTGCAGTGGCCCACCTTGTTAAAAATAACCTACTTGCAACTTATCATCACGTAATTGTGCTAAAAATGGCTCTAAACTAAAGGTTCGACATCTTTCAACATTTATAGTTTGATACAATTTATTTATTTTTTATTTATTTATTTTACAGTTTAGGGAATACCACAGGGTTTGAACCCACAACAGTTTCCACTAATTTGGTAATAAAAGATGGAAAATATCAATCTATCAATAATCATAAAAAACAAAAAAATATACAGTTGAACAGACAATAGAGAATACAGTAGTACTAGATAGACATACACACACACACACACACACACACACACACACACACACACACACACACACACACACAAAACAGTTTAAATAAAATGAATTAAAAGGAATTAAAAGAGTAAAAAAAGAAAAGGCATACAATTACATTTCTAAACGTTTAACATAATAATTTTTAAAAGTATTTAATGATGACGACAGTATATCAACATATCTATTATTATTTGATAAAACACTATTAAAGGACGACGTTATTCTACATATAGAGCTATTCATACCTAATTTAGTTCTAAAAAAATTTATATCGAACAAATAATTATTTCTAGTATTTATAGATGGAACGTGAAAGTTTAACAAAGATAGAGGTTCAGGACAATCGATCAAGTTGTTAAGCAATTTAAACAAGAATATGAGGTCTGAATGAAATCTTCGGTTCACTAGGGTAGTTAATTTAAATGTTTGTTTTGTCACTGTGATATTAGGAACATTATAGATGCCATTTATTCTAAAATTTAAGTAACGGGCGAATCTGTTTTGCAATCTTTCTAATCTAATTTTATATACATTATAAGTGGGATTCCAGATAACACTAGCAAAATTTAACCTACTGTAAATATAAGCATAATACAAGGATTTCATTGACTTTTCTTGTCTAAAGTCGTTACATATTCTTATTATAAAACCTAACAATTTATTGCACTTGTTGCAAATATGATCTATATAAGGACCAAAACTCATCTTACTATCAAAGAACACTCCTAAGTCTTTTACAGCGGTAACCCTATGCACTATTTGGTTATTTATAAAATAATTAGCATCAAAAACATAATTTTTCGTGAAACTGATACAGTAACATTTTGCTATGTTTAAAGTTAATTTATTATTTGTGCAGTACCGAATAATACAATATACTATATACTTAAAAATTGATTAAAAGTAAGAAGAGAAAAAAATTCAATAACCAATTTTAAAATATTATTTTTACCTTTAATCAATTATTTTCTCTTTTGTTTCATTTTTCATATAACGCCCTGTGATGACATTAGCGATGATAATTACTAACGCTTTCTATTTACAACTCTTCCTTTTTTCTTTAAACGCGATTACTGAGCAATAAACGAAGTTCAAACCAATACAATTCCGAAAACTGTTGTTGTACAGGTTATCGTCAGATAACCTTTCCAATAGTTTCGTAAAACTTTATTCAAGGAAATCGTTTTGCAGTATTATATAAACACTTCAAAGTGGCGGTACAAAAAACAGTAAGACGACAATGTTCGCGAAATTTATCCCTGTACTGTTCCTGCCGTTTTGTCTGGCCAAATCCACAGATGTGACTTTCAAAAATGCAACTTTTCGTGGATACAGCCTGTTCACGGAAAAGTTCAAGAAGACCATCCCGCTTTCAAATAGTTTAAAGGATAACCTACCAGAGTCAGCCTTTGATAAGATTGAGTTTATAGACCAAAATATTCCGGTGCTGTACCAAGATTCTTTGGCTGATCTAGACGAGTTGGACGAGTTGGTATTAGAACATTGTGGCGTATATGAGATTCAACCTGGTGCTTTGAAGAATGTGCCGATGCTGAGAAGGCTTTCTTTAAAGGGTATTTATAGATTTTTTCTTTATCTTCATCTTTAATCTGCTTATATTCTTTTCCTGTCAATTTTAATAAAGAGTCACACAAGCAAACAGTTAAAACTATTGGATGTACAGATGTAATAGCTAATGAGCACAATTGCAAAATAACTGTTAGTATCCTTAATTTTTTTAGGCAACAAGATTGAGGCAATCAAAGAAGGCGTTTTCAATAACCTAGAGCTCTCTACGGTAGATTTAAGCCTCAATCTCATAACGACCATCCACAGCAGTGCCTTCAATGACCTGCCCAGCCTGCTAAACATAAACCTGGCCGACAATAACATTCAAAAGTGGAACAAGAACTGGTTCAAAAACACCCCTTTACTTACAAGAGTGTCCATGCAGAACAACTCCATCGCCAAACTACCCAACTACGCTTTCAAGAACTTAGCCGGGAACAAAAGTTTTGGCAAATTGAAATTAACTGTAAATATAGTTCTGAGCTACAACAAAATCAGGACAATTGAACCGGAAGCATTTAGAGGTCTTACAGAAGTAAACCACCTGTGGTTGGATAACAACCAGCTCCAAGAGTTCGGTGACGATTTGCTAAATGGCGTCGACGTCAAAGATTTGAGGTTGAACAACAACAACATCCGTTGTTTGGATGGCAACCTGGCCAGGATCATCAAAGCTGAGTCAACTCAGTTGGACTCCAATCCTTTCGATTGCGAATGCTTGAGTAAAATTAAAGATTGGGCGAAAAAGAATAATAAAAACGTCCAATTGTTCTTCTCTGAGATGGACTGTTCTGCGCAGAGGATCAGAATTAAAATGACCGCCCTTGAGAAGAGGCTTAAAGAGATCAGGGATCAAGATAACGATATTGAGGTAGCAGAAGGGAAACCTTCATCAAATCCTATCAAATGATTCTTACGGATTTTCTTGTTAGTGTAGTATATATTTTTCATTACATTTTTATATGTATATTTTGTACCTTTCGATGAATATTTGGAAATGAATTATTATAGCAAAGAAAAACAAAATAGAAGGCATGAGAAGATAAAGGAATTTCTTATGGTACAGGGCCTGACAAATTCGTGCCTTTCGGGAAGGGGGATTTTTTGATGAGAAATGAAAAAGTAGTTGAAATGTCACAGGTCCAATTTTCGAGAAAAAAAACTAATTGCAATTTTACTTTCAAGCATAAATATTATTATCGATTAACGGTTATAGTTTTTTATAATTGGTCTAGATATATTTTTGGTTTGGTACAATAAAAAGTTTAGATTTGATGTATTTTTTGTTCACAACCGTACAGGGTTAGTCAGTATAATCTGACAACTTATTGTGAGTTTATTATTGAAATTACAAAAAAGTTTTTAATACGAAAGTTTTAGATTTTTTATGAATTTTTATAATACAGTATTAGAAAAAACAATTGAATAATGGAAACCACTAAATTAAAGAAAAAAGAATTTTTAATGGAACACCATGTATATTAGTGCATACTTAGCTTCGTTAAATTTTTCTCTTTTCAAAAATATATAATATGTTACTGTTTGATTCAGTACTTTTCGACATATTTCAGTTTAAAACTATTTTTGAAAAAACGGGGAAATATATGTCTGGTGGGTCGCAGTGGCTATGGACGGGCACGCGGACCAAATAAATGACTTTCACAGAAGTTTATTTATCTTCATTAATTTACACCATATCCTATACCAAACTAATTTAACAAAGAAATAATGTTTAGTGAGAACGAAAAATTTGAGGTTATCATTCTTAACTTTAACAAGTCTTTACTTTAATAAAAACTAACTAAAACACAAATTACTATTGATGCACTTCGTATAATCCTCATTAATTTTGGGCCAAAAAGTAAAAGATTTCAGTCAACACTAATTATCGAAAGTTAAGGGCTTTCAAGTAGGTTTAGCTCGTCCTTCGAAGAAATTTAGCAATATTTTTTTAACAAGTTCACTTAACCTGTCAGGGCCATGTGTTGAGCAAGTTGTTAGAATGTTGTGAGGAAAAGAAAGTAATAAATCAAATAGCTGGTTTTTAGGCGGATTTTCCAAGCTATTAAGAATATATTAAATGAGATGGACTAATCCGTCCCGTATTGCTATATGGAGTCACAAGAGGATGGTATAGGGTTATTTGTAAGTTTAGTCTCAAAATTATTTAGACAAATGTAAATTCAGGCCATTAGACAACTATTAATATGGCATAGTTATGCCAAAGCGTCCCGATATACAGGGTTTCCGCCAGTAAGATAAGAACGGAAACTTCTGGAAACAAGAAATGTGCGTGTCGAAGCGAAGTGTCGAATTTAGGAGAGATCTACGAAAAAAATGATAATTATAAACTCCCTTTCGTGAATTGAATAGTAAACTCTTTTGAAACCCAGACTTGTTATGATACTGGTCAGAACGATATATAGATAAATAAAGTAATAAAAAGCTAAAACTTTTGTATTAAAAACTTTTTTGTAATTTCAAGAATAAACTCACAATAAGTTGTCAGATTATTAGTGACTGACCCTGTCTATTCAAAAGATAAAAATGCTTGCCACACTCAATACGTTAATTTAGTGATAACATTTTGATAGTGATTGGTACAATGAATGACAAAATCTTGAACTGATTACTTCATTGTGGTATCAGTGACAACAATGTTATACTCGTATACATTTGTATACATTTTTCGGGCTACAGTCTTCCTTCAGGGTACTCTCATTATTGTAATAACATGTTTGCGTTACGAGTAATAAATAAATTTTAGATTTAAAATAAAACTAATATCGAAAACAAACATGTCACCACAAATAACCGTTTATATTCTTCTGGAAAACCATAAACCTAATCCAACGGATTTACAGGTTAATATTCAATAAGTTCTTCCCATTATTGTGTAATATTTACCTTTATGATTCTACCTACATATGTTTCAATATTAAATAGACACATTAAGGAATTTATGACGGCCCAAGTTGGGAGTATGACTTAGCTGCTAAGGTAATAAATATAATAAAATTTTACGAGGAGTAAAGAAACACAATGATACCATGGAGAACTCGTAGTAAATTTTACATTTTATATATTTGTTTAAGATAACTCTTTCCTATGTGTGTTCCACTAGAAATTGATTTTTAAATCACCATTACGGACTGACTAGGTATAAACCTTAACTTCGACAATCCAATACAAGTTGTTCATGGTTCACGTCAAATATTTACCTAATAAAATTTTATTTCAGATGGAAGCGTTTCTCTTTTTTTTAAATTTTATTTTAGAGATTATATGCCCGTCTATTTTCGATTGCTGACGGATTGTTTTTATGAAAATTGTAAGGACAAATACAATTATCCTCCAGTGAAACTGAAATCTCGGTTATTGTCCATGGCTTCCCAAGATAAGCAAAACTTTTCATCAAGAATAACTTGTTCTCGAAAACACACACTGTATACGTACTATTCTATTGGCACCGTTTTTTTTATCGGCTTGAAATCCCATCTTTGCGCTTTAAGGGGATGAGGACTGTGTTTTATTATTCCATTTTTCGCGGCAACGTAAGCTCGTACCCGATGCCCTCCATAATAAGAGGTTATAAGACAATAGCGGGCGTCGCAAGTAATCAATTATAGTACGACCATTATTAAGACACGTTGGATAAATATAAAATACCCAACTTTTCTTATTTTCGTACCTTAGGAACGCCCCGGTTGCGAAGCTATTGTGAACGTGGAGAAAGAAATTGTTAGAATAAAGGTCAGATTGTTCTGCTGGAGTAGCGATAATTATTTTGCTCCAATCTAATAACAAATAAAATGTGTAAATAATGTAACAAAAGCCGGGACGTGTGGTCATTTAATTATTAGTTCTCGGAACGAATGGGCCAAAAAGTAAAATATTTCAGTCAACACTAATTTATCGAAAGTTAAGGGCTCTCAAGTAGGTTTAGCGTCGTCCTTCGGAGAAGTTTAGCAATATTTTTCAACAAGTTCACTTAGACTGTCGGGGTCATGTGTTGAGCATCTGGTAAAGAGAAAAATCGATATTTCAAATAACTCGCGAAATGCATTCCAAAGAACGTAGGAATTCCAAGAATAAGTTGTTAGAAGTTGATAGAAAAATAATAATAGATCAAATAGCTGGTTTTTAGGCGGATTTTCCAAGCTATAAGAATATATTAAATGAGATGACAACGAACATTCAATTATGTTCCAACGACTACTTGATCCTTGCACCGCTAATGTGATTTTTAGATAGTATTCCTTTTGAGACTCTTTAGAACGATATTGTGCAAAACCGTACTTATCGTATCAACTTCGACGTCACCTGTTACATGGGTGTTGCACAATAATGAAAAAGTAATATTGACAGTTGGTAGAAGGAAGCGCAAAAAACCAAACGCTTAGGTGGGGAATTCTGGAAGGAAGCCTAAAGAGTTGAAGTGAGAACAGTGTGGAGAGGGGTAGTAAGACGATCGGCGGGCAGGAAGGCAAAAGAGTTGAAGTGAGGACAGTGTGCAGATAGGTAGCAAGCCGATCGGAGGACAGTGTGGCAAAGTAGTGAACAATTAAAAGTGTTTAACCGGTATTAATTAGCAAGTAATTATTCTCTAAGTACTTGTTGTTAATTGTTCTATGTAATCTTATGATTGTGATGGTTATAGATGTTTCATGATAATAATTCTGTATATGTTTAGCCTTCATTGTCTTATGCTCAGGGGCGTATATTTTTCTAACGTAAAATTGTTATAATTATTATTAAAGATTGCTCATTATTTATTACATGTTAAAATATGCATATATTGTCGTGACTGCCCGGATATTGCAATAACAACTCCTTTGTTTCACATTTAACTTGTTTTATCATGATTACGTTGTTCTTTGATTTCTTGTTCTCACTTTATGTCATACGCATATAAGAGCCTTGTTGAATTTACTAACATTTTCGCCCTTGAGGAATGTATCTGTAAAAGAATAATTAAAAACCAAGAAAGAATTGCTAAAACAGATCTTCCGAAATCTCAACTCAAATAAGTTTTAAACGCGAAGTAATATAGAAAAATTTCTCTAATAAAAGTTTATTAGAAAATAGCGAGCTTTTTAACAGGAAAAGAATTTGGGTATGTTTCTGGAAACATATAATTGATGACGTCATTAATCGTTTCTGTCAAATCCCAAAGATAATATTTTTTATTGAAAATGGAGATTACCTCATCCTATTTAACACTACGTGTCTCAAATTACGTAACCACCAATGGTACTTTTATTGCAAAATATTCGAGTTGGCTCTATTTTTATGAACACAAGGATCAAACGCTGGGATCTGGTCTTCGAAAAGATTACCCGACACCGCAACATTTTTGGCATTGGCAGCCCTCCTCCACCCACCAGCGTCGATGCCGAGATAACGACACCCCTCGCGTTTTTCACTCGGCCAGCGGGTTTATCTGCAGAGTTATGTGAAGGCTACCATATTACGCCAAGGTCCGCAAGACCGTTTAAGCAAATATGCGACACCAGATCCCCTATCTGGAATATATTGATGTCCTCCCGCTCAGGTCTTGTAGTAATGTGTTGGCACTCTTGTCGGACAATCGGCTGCCGAGCAGCAGAGGTCGCGCCACTGGTCAGCGTCGTAAATCCCGGACTGAACCTTGGAGATCCCATCCACCACGATGCGGCCGTCGTGACCACCTGAATGGTACATGGGGGATCTTGTTTCATAGACGAGCTGGACTGTCGCGGTTCGGTGTTTCCCGCTGATAAGAACTTACCTCTCGGATCTGCGTTTCTACCACCACGAGGTAAATACCGTGTACGGGGTGTTTTGGAATTACGGAATTCAGCGAATTTTTGCCTTTAATTAGCCCAAGTGTCATCAATCCACGTAAAATGTCTTCAGAAATATTTGAATTTATATTATTATAATCTTTTAAATGGAACACTCTGTATATCTTCTTCATATTCTGTTAGGACATACCTTCAAGCGACCGTACTAACCTTGTAATAACCTTGAAATTATTTGTGATCTTCAGCCGTTTCTTAAAACATTCAGTCAGTTTGTAACGATTTCTTTGATCTTCAAATGACCAACGTAATCTTTATATGACCTTGAAGCGGTCCCAATCATCTTGAAAGGTCGTGCGAAAGTGGAGAATAATTTTCGGAGAGCGAGGATGCGATAAATCTTACCGATTTTTCTGTATTTTAAATTAACTTTGAGATCTTAAAATGGCTTTTAACTTACCTAAAAACGACTATTGTGATCTTGAAATATTT